CATAGTGAAGATACCTGCTACTGTCTTTAGTCCTGTTAATTTTGGAGGGCTACTTAGAGGGTAAATTACTGCTAGGAATGAATGAATGAAACCCTTAATTACTTGCATGTTATTTGAAATAAATCCTTGTATATCTTTTATCCCTTTCTGAGCCAACATCTAAGGGCTGTGCTTAGGTAAAGGTAGAGCCTTGAATAAAATCATGTACAGGGCTGAAAGAGGATTTGACACAGCAACAGGATTAGAAAGGAAATACTGCTATATGTGTTATACTATCACAGTAACCTTTGTTTTTTAATTACTTTCGCCCAGTATAATAACATTCAGTAGCAAACATTTCCTTAGTAGGTCTTGCCCCAAAGAACTTACAGTCACAGAGAGTGAAAAACAGTAGGAGAAAACAGGACTTGCTTTCTTGATTCTAAAAATGTCACTATTAAAAAAAATACAGGAGGTTGGTGGCAACTAAGAAAGAAACCCTTCTCTTGATAATTTGAAGGTAAATACCATAACCATAAGTCAAGGCTTCCTGTCAGCCAAGTGGTGAAGTGTAATACTTACCTAACTCTTCTGAGGTTTTTACTCAAGCAATTTCATACTGACATCAGTGTCAGGCTACTTGAATAAGATCTGAAGATAAAGGTCTCAGAAACTGGCTTGAGTGGAATGACATTGAAATATCTTAATTATTTCAATTAGATGCTGTGCAATCACTTGGTTTAAAATAAAAGAACAATTTCTAAACATAAACACAGAGGGTTTCAATGTGTGGCTTTACATTGACGTGTCTTGGAAAGATAACACTCCAGTCCTCAGATACCCCAGGTAAGTAATAAGCAGCTTCCTCCCATCTTGAAGCTGCAAAGATCACTATCTTGCCATATTTACAACCACACCTGCAAAGTATCTAAGGAAATTAGCAGCTCTCTTGCTCTGGCCAGGAAAAAGAGCCAGTGATACTGGCTTTACTGTATGATATCTTTATTTAAGATTGCAGTGGTTCAGGAGATAGGTAAGAGGATATAGCACCTTTTACTTTTCTGAAACAGGTTTCAATCTTGTTGCCAGAAGGATGGTTCATTTACAAATGCTGCTATCACCTGCTACTCACATAGAGGACTTGGTATTTTGTTCTAATTAAAAACAAGTGTGCTGAAAATGGTTGTTTGGAAAGCATTCAAAGATCTAAAATAATTTCAAACTAGCTGTGTTGTTTTGCTCACAAAGAATGGGGGGGGGGGAACTGTGAAAAATTAGGAAGCTTTTTTTTCAAAATTAAATACTACAGTTTTGAAAGGTCCCCAAATCTGGTGTTTCTGAAGCTTTGCTTTATAGCTTCTAGTTTCACATGGCAAAGTTGAATTGAAAAATGGAGATATATTTTAATAATTTTTTTTAAATTATTTTTTACAGTGGTTAAATAACCCAAATATGAAAAAAAAATAGTTTGGGGATTAGCTGAGAACATTTTGAAAATTTTTGGTTTGAATTTGAGTATAGAAAATTATTTTCTCAGATTACTATAATTTTTCTAACCTAGCCACTGAACTGAACAAGGTACAAACTGATTTATGAGGCAAAGAGAAAGCAACTGTCGTCTCCCATTGTCACTGTGGCACAACAAGAAGTCTCCACAAAGCTGCACTGTCTTCCACCTCCATCTCCTCAATGGTGTGACTGCATCTAGCCCTGGGAAGATCCATCATTTATCTCTACTTAACAGCTTTCATAGGATGAATAAACAAATGTTCTCAAACAAAATCATGGGAGATTTATATTTATAGGAGAGTGTTTCAGTAATTGCCATCCTTGCTTGTGAAGCTGTCAGGATCAAGCATGGAAGGACTATGAAGACAGTGCTTCACTGAGGGCAGTTTTTTGTACACCAAAGCTGAGACATGTTTGTGTGAAATTTTGCTGCACTGTTGCTATTGCTGGGGTAAATTACGAACTCTCCTAAATGAGTCTTCAGTACCTGTTTTAAGTTCTGTCCCAGTTAGCTTTTAAGTTTATGCCAGGATGATCCAAATCACAGCCATTTAGAGTTGCTACCGCTCTGCTGCTTGGTTTCTGGCAGCTCAGCTGTGACTCTGAGCAGCTTCTTGCAAGGGGCTGTTAGTGAGCAGCCCACTGGGTGAGCTGCATGAAGCTGAACACTGTATTCATTAACTTTAATTTCTTGCATACTGGGAGGACCATAGGCTTGCATTCCTTCCGTTCTGATTCTGTTTCACGTAGTATTTTGTGTGCATTATCTGAGTGCCAACAGGTAGCGTATGAAGCAATTTAACCTCAGTGTAATTTGATATATCTTTTTCTCTCTCTCCCCCCCCCCCCATGGTTTATTTCCAATAACTTTCTTAATATTAATTCAGAAAAGAAATAAGATTCAGTCATGAAGGTGGAATGAGACCTGTTTAATTAACCCATAAAATCTTTCTAGAATCCCTCTTCTCTTTGTCTCCTGAACAGCCTTTTGCAAACTGAAACCGCAGATAAAGTGTTATATTTTCTGAATCCAACTCCACTAGGATAAGCCTGGCATGACTATGTCCTCCCTCTAAAAAGGGGAGGGGAAAGACCTTCTGTATCCCCTTGGAAGATGTTGCCTACTATTTAGCTAGTTCACTAATGCATTGTGCTGTGCCCTCTTTGCTTTATTGAACCGTTTAGTTTTCTCCTTCCTTCTTTATGCAGTTGACTTTCTTTGTCTCACTTTCCCCATGCTGTACTTTTTTTTGTGTCTGTAGTAAGGCCTGACATCATGTAGCCCCTCTCCCTCATGTCCAGAAGGAAATGGACGTGGTACTTGTCAGCGTGCCTGTTGACAAGCAACGCAAAATGTTTTATGTATTTTGGCCATGCTGATTTACTGGAAACATTAACTTCTTGGAGGGGCTATTGGAAAAATTAGCTCCATAACTCTCTGAAATAACTTTTTCACCTTGATTTGAAGACATTCTGGGGGCTTTTTTTCTTCTTTCCTGTTCCATTAAGACCTGGGTCTCCCTGCTGCAGCTGTTCTGTTTTTAATGTGTTGCTCTGTTTCCAGGCAGACATACCCCTCTTTGAGTGGAGTTCATTTTTCTCTGGCTGTTTTTCCATTTGCCTTCTCTTTAGGAGGTAAATTTGTCAGCCTACTATTTTGGTCTCTCAGTTCCCTACTGCAGCAGAGCCTGTGATCAAAGCTGCAACAGCAATATAAAGGAGGAAAACCAAAATTGCTCTGAATATGAGGGTTTTTTCCTTTCTCTCTGCTTTTTTTTCTTATCTTTGGAAAGGGGATGGTACAGACTTCTGTGTCCAAGGAAGCACGAAGAAGGGTGCTTGCACCGCAGTCTTGACTGCTCCTGTAAAAATGCCCAAATAAGGCTGTCAAAACAATGTTACTGCAGGAGCACAGGACTTGCATGGTTAATTGCTCTGAACCCTAGATTGCTTTCTGATGAGTTTTCTAGCAGTCCTTTGATTTGCTGCACATACATGACGGACCTTTGTTTGAGATATCTTTCTTTCTAGTATTGCAAGGATGACAACCTAACTAAGCACTCAAGTTCTCACCCTGCTGCTTGGGTAAGCCTGCATCCAGTCCTCACCGCTAGCATGGTGGCTGCGTTGCCAGCCACAGCAGAGTCTTTGAGGAATGTCAGTTTGAGCTGTTGGTTGTCACTTGCATAAGCCCGGGATCATGTGACTAGAACTGATGTTCAATTGGTGACAGTTTTTTGTGGAAAATACTTTAAAAAGTGGTTTAAAAGTGATCCACAGTGTGTATCATCTGAGTTTCAGGAAAAATCTAACCCCAAAGATTTCAGGTAAACCTATTTTCCTAAACAATTATTGTGATTACATTTAATTTATTTTTTTTCTTCTCTTGCAAAGCCAAACTCATAACTACTATTTAATGAAAATTAACTCTTGACACTCTTCCTTTTCATCAGTGTAGGGTGTCCACTGGTTGTCTGGTGAGCCTTGGTCCTATCTGATATTACTGTCCCACAGTATCTTACTGCAAAATTACAGTGGCCTCCACAGGCCTTTTCCAAGTTTGTGTCTACACAACATCCAACATGAAATTGCAAGTGTGGATTAAGGTACAGCCAGAACAGATTGCCTGGAGCAATGTCCTGACAGGCACCCCATGGGTTGGCTGTCAGCAGTCCACAGTAGGCATGGGAGAGGTGGAGGAAGCCGTGCCTGTGCCATCTCCAGAGGATGCCTTAGGACCCACCACTGCCACCAGCAAGCTGATGATAAGAAGCTGGGAGATGTCAAGTTGTCATGTTCTTCTTATAAGAAGTGTGTAGAAGGGAAAAGCCCAGAAGGTATGCAGCTTTCCCTTTCCCTACCAATATTTATCTCAATTTCACCAGCATCTCTGCATTGGCCAGGTAATCATCCAGTAGGTACGTCAAAGTAAGGAGACTTGATTTACTGGCTGGTAGAAAGATTCCCAATAACATATTAAAACAAGTCCCTATTGTAGGAAGAGTTGAAAAGAGCATTCAGAAGTGGGTTTGTCTCCCACCAGAAATTTTAATAGAAGAGATTCAGCTATCCCCTCCCTTTGTTTTTTTTTTTTTTTTTTTTATGGAGTATTTTGTGGAAGAACTTAAAAGCTGCTGAAAATTCAGCTACTGACTAGATAGATGGAAGAGATGGGGAGTGAAGGAAGACTTGCTGAACACGGCAGAATCCACCCAAAAACCTGGCAGGTCAATATTGGGTCAATAACAAATTGTGAGAGGTAATAAAGCGACAGGCAAAGATGTGGCAACTGCAGCTTTCCTCTCACCTCTGACATTGCAGATCTTTCCCTCTAAGACGTGGGCAGACTCTTCTCCGCACAGAGGAGGCAGAGGGTGGAGCTCAGCGCCTGTATAAATTATATGTGTCCTTCAGGTTATTTCAGCAGCAACAACAAGCTGTAAGCGTGTTTGTCAGCTGACAGATCCCTTCCCCAAATTGGATTTTCTGTTGCTGTCACCATCTTGCGTGTCATGGGGAGCCCACCAGCCAAGGTAAGAGAATTGCAGCTCCGCGCTTTGCTGTGGCCCAGCACCTTGCTGTTGGGACCTCCCTGCCCCAGTTCTCACGAGCAAATTCCCTCCTCTTTGCATCTGCTGAGATGCAGAGACAAACTGCTGCTGGTGCGATGCGGCAGGGTCACCTTGAACTTTGCAAATTTACCGTTTTCCCCTTTTACCTCACAGTACCTAATATGTGAGTGAACTTCAGCGAAAGCACAGCGAAAATGTGGCCCTTTTCTTTTATCGTGAGGTGTACATGCTGGAGTGAACACCAGGAAGGAAGAGAGGGCTGGCCTTGATGAGGTTACCTCACTGTAAAATGAAAGTGCGTTAGCCCCGCTGCATGCTTTTCTCAGGATAGCACATGTTCGTTCCTTGCCCCAGCTGAAAAAAACCAACAGCTTTTTCTAGCAACAAAGCATAATTTATATTACTTTAGCTGCAGGGAAGAGTTCTACTGAGCTTTTTGGCTGATTTAGCTATCTTTAATGTAAAGTTTACAGCGCTTGCGATTCTAGTGGAAGTATTTCATGTCTGGACTTGAGTTTTCTAATAGTAAGTTCCATTCAGAGATTTTAACTGATAGTTTTTAGTATAAATCAACAGAATTATTAGCTGAGAGTTATTTTCTCATGTATATCTTTAAAAAGTAATGTATGCAGTTCTGGAATGCAAGGTATGAATTATTAACAACTAACCATTCTTTATGTATCAAACCCTATGTCAAATTTTACAGCAAATAAAAGAAATATGGACATTCATGGGTTTTAAATATAGCGAGAAACAATGTTACATGCTATGGCTTATAGAGAATCATTAATCATTAAGAATAAAGAATACTTACTGTACTTGTGCCGTGGTAATATTTGCAGGTGAAGTTAAAAGGTTCAGGAAAATACCAGTTGCTTGAACAGATAGCTCAACTGATAGATTAAAAATATTCAAACATTGGATGCTCAGGGCAAAGAATATAAATTGTAAATGTAATGTACTTTCTGGATAAAATTTGTATCTAATCTACCTACCTGTTAGATCCAGAGCTATCTATCTTAGATATAAATATTATCTATCAATTTTAAATATCAATGTTATATCTAATAAGAAAATTCTGGATCTAATAGATGAATAGATAGCTTAGGTATCATTTTATCTAGAAAGTCCCAATGACAGCGAAAGTTCTCGCATTTCACCCTAATGCTGCAGCTGCTATTCCATGAGTATAGACTGCCAAAAGGTTAGAGTACAAGCATAGCTTCAGGTCAGAAAGCTTCTATTCCCAAGGATGGAGATTCATTCAATACTGCAGGTAGCTCTGCTATTCTGTCAGCAAATGCATTTTTCAGTACATGTAAATTGGTAAACAGATACAGAAATCAGAACAGGGATTTTGTGTGGTTTTTTTCTTTTATATTTATATTAAAAAAAGCAAGTTGTTTAGAAAAGTGTGGATGCTTTGGACTGTCTAGGAAGACCTACTAAAGGTCTCCCAGTTAATTCTGTGCTGTTTAAAAAAGCTACCAAGTTGGCACAGAAGTGATGGACAATATTAATTTACAACTTGCTGGCAGTGTTTTTGATATTCATAGCAGGGTCTTTTCTTCTGCTCAGACAAAAATAATTACTCTTTAGCAGTTTTATTTTGTGAACTACAGAATAATATTTATGTGGTAAAATAGTCAGCAGTTCTGCTAATACAAAGCCTGAGGGACCCACTCATACGTGTAAAGAGGTAACTGACAGAATATGAACAGGGGATGCATCCCAAATCCACAATGACTCTTGAAACGATCCATCAGTGATAACATGAAATTACAGTAAATGTTTGTAAGAAAAATTAGATTTACTCACTAACTGTTCAACTTTGATTGATAAGATATTGGATAATTGTGATTCCCAAGGAAAATGAGGGTTTCAGGGTCATGTTCTCTCCTTCTATTCCTGCTCCTGGTTTTGCATATTTCTTTAGTCAGTCGCTTTTCCCACCAGAACTTTGCATTCCTCTAATTTTAATGAAAATAGGTAGCTGGTTAGAAGGACAAATTGCTAGCAGTATTCTCACTGATGGAGGGGCTAGTAAATTCAGCCCATATTAGGTGTTAAAGAATCTATGGGGAAGAGAGCGCTTTGGAACCAGGCTGGTCATGAAGCTTTTTTATAGTTTATAAGTTTATAGCTTTAACCTTAATTTCATAAATTGCCAAGTTGTGGTTGAACCAAATCCTCAGTATCTAAGGTAAAATAAATGTTAAGAATATGCCAAGTGATTACAGTTGATGTGAGATACTGTACATAAGATGTTGTACAGCTTCTAGTACACCACTGGAGAAAGAAAAAGTAATCCATAAAAGGAAGTAATTATTCATGTCTGAAAGAGATTGATAAAGCTGAGTGATAAATCCTACAGCTGTTTACAGAATGTCAAAAGACAGAGAGCAAACTCCTCATATAAATCTTCATATAACTTGGTGTTATCCCATGGTGATAACTCTGCTCAGAGAACTGCTTAGGTTTGGTGCAAGGGGATAGAAATGCTAAGATTCCAATCAGCCTTCCAACATGTGCAAAACAAGGACTTTTTTAAAAAAAAAAAGAAAGAAAAGAAAAAAGAGATGGTGATGGGAGGAGATTCCCAGATTGCCAGGCCCTGCAGAAACTACCTCCTAGGGTCCCTTTCTAGGGAATGTTGCCGTAAGATCTTGTTCTAGGAGCAGCATGGAGGGGCAATAAAGAGTGAAATCAAAGATATGAGCTGTTGGTAGGTTTTTCTTCTTTCACTGCCATCCAAAAACTGTCTTGGTAAGCTCCATATTAATGAGCTTTGAGAAGATTTCATATTCTCAAAGTTGTCTTTTGGGGATGAAACCTTGAAGTGACTAACCGCCTGTAAATGGGAGAATTTTGTGTCCTCCTGAAGCTGACTGGCATATGACTATTCTCTGGAAGCCAGACAGTAGGCCAGCAGATGTGTATTATTACAATCAATGAGATGTTGGCAACAGATGTGAATTTTCAGTTTGTTAAGGTTTGACACAGCTGTGGCAATTCTGCCATGCTAATTTTATCTCCTGTTTATTGACTTTTCTAGACCTGAAATGGCTCCCCCAACACTTGCTTTGAGAGTACAGAAATGTAATTTACTGCTAACTGCTGTCAAGTGAAAAGAAATTTGATTGGGGGGTTTGTTTGTTTGTTTGTTTCTTTCTTTCATTTTTTAGCCTACTCTCTGGGACTCTGGACGTGCTACTATTTATTGGTCTGGAGTGTTATTGTCTGGGATGCAAACATACACAGGTAGCTGAATCCTGCACTCTGTCATTGGCCTCAATGTGGCACTACTAATTTTCCAGCAAAAATAGAATGATGTGCTTCTGGGAAAGCTACCTTTGACTCCAGATATTTACAGAGGGGTTTTGTTACTCTCTGTGTGTCTATGCAGGAAACTGTGTTTCTCCCAAGGAAGTGAACTAAAAGGAGCGAGACTAGTACAGCTGCGAGACTGTCAAGAACTGTCTGGATATGGTGTCTGTGCTTATCAATTTGCATTAATCATGAAATTACACATTGTTTTTCATGTTATGAAAATAGCAAATGGCATCTCTAACCATAAGTGTTTTTTCTAGAAGGGTATTCTGGAGTGCCAGCACTTTTGAGCAAGGATGTTATTTTAGACCACGCAAATCAGACCTTAACAGTCTGCTCTGGACCATTATAGAAGAAAATTAACTCCACTTTTTTCTGATGAAAAAAAGAATTAGCCCAATTCTGAATGGTTATCATAGGCTGGAGGAGCTGCAGTCTTGGGAGCAGGATGGCTTCTGGCTTCCCCTGGGGATCTGCACAGCCCATAGGGTTTATTATGGCCACATTTACCCATCTGAACCTGTTTATCTTTTACCCTGCAACAAGACAAGGACTAAGCTCCACAAAATCAGAAGTAGTGAACAGTCATCTTTGATGATGTTTGCTTTGGCGGGCAGATGTTGACGTGTTTAAGGGAAGGGATTGCTGTTGAAAGGGGAAGGGAGGAGGAGTGAGGCTCTCTGGTGCTAGTGGGAGAGGAAGAAAACATGACACCTATCACAGCTGAGAGTACTCTGATGATGAAGTGCAAATGCACCATTTTTATAAGCAATTAGGAAATTTTCATCACAAAATGTTCAAAGCAAATTGTATGCCAACATCTGCTTCTCCAGTGAATGCAAACTCTGAGAATGGTTTGGGCTTCTGTTGAGCAAGGGGGAAGTTGATTACAAAATAACACTGAATTAACATATTAATTAAAAACAGTCAGCTCTGTAATTGGCTACATAATCCAATATTTCATGTTAATGAAACCCACTAGGAATGCTGACTGAGTGTTCCAGTTGGTACTTCTATGTTAAATAACTATTCGCACAGGAAAATTAAAGTCAGATTCTTTCAGTGGGCAACTGGACTAATATGGAAGTGTCCCAACTGGAACTTGTAATGTCCATAGTGCATTAAACTCAGAACCTTTTAAATACGTCAGTTTCAAATTGGAGGAAAACATAAAAGAAACAGTTCTTGTCACACAAGAACAAATGTGTCTTGCATTTATATACAAAAAGTGTTTCAATCAACCATTAAGAGGCCAAGAGACAGAGTAATCTGCGATTTTGTAGGTTTAACAACAGGGTTTTTCTGCTCAGAGTGACTCTTGAATATTAATCTGAATTTTAAAGGATGTAATTTTTAAAGTGACATCATTAAATTTAATATTAAGCCTTTATTTGAACATGCCAATTCACAGTTCAAATGGTAACCATTTGATGTAACATAATTTACCTCTAAACAAAACTGAATGAAACTGAATGAAGGTTATTTTCATCTCTAATAAACATGTCCAATAGCCTCCACCCCATTTTAAAAGAATTTCAGATTAACTGTAGTGAGTGAGTCCTTCTATAGGACGTTCCTCTTTCCCCAGCTCTTTGCATCTCCAAAGTTAATCATTTCAGTGTCAGGAAAATTAACCACAGTGCTAACTTTCAAAATACAATTGTTAAATTATTTTGTTGCAGTGTAATGGGGTACTCTCATTTAGACAAATAGATACGATGTTTCAGTCAGTGTATAGTTCAAGCTGCTATTCAAACTAATGAAACAGTTCCAACATGGTGTGGCCCTGTTTGTTTTAATTAGTGGTAGCAGGACTGTATGTTATTATTGCTTATTATTGCTGACAAGCCATGCTAATATGCAAAAAAATAGATAAAACACTCAATAGAAAATTGAAAAGGAATTTAAATGTTCCAATTTGAAAAAAGAAGGAAATATTTTCCCGCTTTTAGTATTAAGAATGTCACATGTCTGTGTATGTATGTCCATTCAGGCTAATCGGAATGTCTTTTGAAAATGGCAAATACTTTCTGACCAGCTTAGGTTGGGAAGCTTAATTCTTTGTTAGCGTTAGGAACAAGTAACTTGAAATAAGTGTTACAATGATAGCTTGCCTATGATAGAAATAAATCTCATGTCTGGAAGGGAAGTGGTTCCATGCCCATTAGGTATTTTCAGGACACCTCAGGATGTGGGATTCTGCGATATTATGCCTCCAAAGCACTTTTTTCTTCATCTGAAGGGTCTCTGCTGGGCCTATGGTCCATTCATTTGAAGTCAGTAGTGCATTCCTCTAGATGCCTTTTGGTGAGCTTGGCCTACTTATGAGTGTCATGAAAATTTAGTCCTAGTTGGGATACACAGTCAGAAATTTTTAGAGCACTTTAGCAACTACCATGTCCTGGCCTAGTGTCAGTGCTGTGCCAGGACCCAGGCAGGCAGCCACAAGTTCCTAGTATTGCCTTCCAAAGGCCAAGTTTTGACCTGCCTGTGGCACAGGACCCTCAGCAGATTAGTGGTACAACCATCACCATGGCCATGCATGCATCAGGTTGTATGAAAATAGGCACCTCTAGGGTGACTACAAAAGCTTTCCATACCATCGTCTGAGTCTCTGTTTTCTTTCTCTGTCTTCACTTGCTCAAGCTACTTAGCAAATAGCCCAGTGTGCAGGCGTGTTATTGTCTTAGCGTGGTGTACTTCCACTGGAGGGTGGTCGCCTCACTTCAAACAGACAAACAGAAGGACAAACTGTCCCCTGTACTGTTCAAAATACATATTGGTTTTGTATTCTGAGCTGATAAAACTAATTGCATTTGTTTTCTCTGCAGATGAAGATTTGCCCCGTCCACATGCTTTCTGTAAGAATCATACAAGCTAAGAACATCAAGTCAAGAGACCTGTGTGAGTTATGTTTTGATTGTGTTTTTAGTCACCCCCAGAGTTTACACAGTGAGCAATGTTCCTAAGTTCTGAAGGTATACAAGCAGCGTACACAAAGCACAGCAATAGAAGTACTAATGCCAGGGCTATAATTAGATCAAATGCCTGAGGTATCATTAGATTGGAGGAAATATCTAGTGGCATTTCAGGGAACTGGTAAAAACCAAGACTCCCAGATGAATTTCCTGGGCCAACAAGGGAAGGTAGACCTTGTGAGGACCCTGCAATCTGTAAATCTGCTTGGAGTTGTTTGGGTTTGATGTTTATAATTCGTATAAATCATATAATGGACTGGAATTTTGCCACACAGGCCATGTATTTAGGGACCTTTTATTGAAATGTATGAATTATACACAATAATCAAAGGTAAATTAGAGAATTTGAAGCCTTCTAAAATACAGTATCATTCGGGGTATTTGCTGTTCTCAGATGACCAGTCATGTTAAATTATACTGATAGTTTCTGGTTAAGGAGGGCTTCTGCAGATCCAGCCCCAAGCACATGCTGAACATGCAGGCAAAACAGACTTTTCTGTGTACTTTTGTATTCAACTTTCTTTAACTCATTATCTCACCCTCACAGCCTCCTATGGCTCCTTCTCAAGGTGTACTATGGACCAGCCATTCAGCTGCCATTTTTGCAGAGGTGTCCCATGGGTTCCTCAGTCAGGACAGAGACTTTGAGCTGCCTTTTCTCACACTCTTGAAACCTCTGGCCTGTGTACTCCTCTAGTGAAAAACGACATGTTCAGTCAGAAAAACGTCACTTTGCAGTGAGTTACTTGAGTTACAGCTGAGACCATTCACGTCTGGCCATGCAGGGCTGAGCACAACCTTGGCCAAGCCCAGACGTGAGGGAGACCAGAGGGAGTGAATCCCCTGTTAGTTGAGTAACTGTCTACCGAAGGGCTTCTGGTACTCCTGTGGCAAATGCCACGTAGCAACGTCCAGAGGTGGACACTAGAAAGGTGGTAGTGTGGCAAGGCCTGTATTTCTGAATTTCAATGATCTCTTCTATCTACTCTATTGAAGGGACAGTTCCACTTTCCTGCCAAAACCTTGCGGGGCAATGTTATTCACTGCTTGATACCAGTCTGAAGTATTTAGGCCTCTCGGGCTGCAGTAGACATCTTCAGTCAAGTCCAGACTCCAGCTCTGAAAGACATCACCCTGGAGATTTCCTTTCACACCGTTGTCAAGCTTCACAAAGTAAATGTGCTTTCCCACCCCAGCTCTTCCCAAAGGACGGCTGCTCAAGGCACTGACTGCACTAACCATAAGGAGTAGATGTAGGCTGGAAGCGAGATGAAGATTTCTGACTTGCTCATGCCCTCGTGTTCTTGGGCCCACACCAGCCTTTAGCTGCAACAGATCTTCTTCCCTAGTACCTAACCCTTCTAGACAGCCATCGTTTCCCCTCCGCATGTTTGCGTTGCTAGACTGAGCAAGCCCGCCTCCTCTGATACTCTCTGTAATATGTGTTCTCCTTTCCTCTAATCATCCTAACAGCCCTTTTTGGAACTAGCTCTAGTTTCAGTTAAACTTTTTTAACATCATTGACTGAAATTGTAAGGAATATGCCCGATGAATGGTCAGTGGGATCTTTTATACCTCTTTTTCTTCATATGGGAAACACGGCTCTTAGTGTACTTTGTGTGTGCATGTGTACATTTGCAATTTGTAGTTACCCAGGAATTAGACGGTTTTCCTTGGTTGCTTCCAACTGATGGTTTCTTTACTTATTTAAGAAAAAGTAGTAATATTTATTAGTCCCCAGAATCATGGCCTTGCCCTACTTTTCATCTATAACACTGGCATCAGGTTTTTAATTTTTCTTTGCTGCAGTGACTGCATCAGACTGCTATGTGCGCTTGTGGCTGCCATCTGCTTTGAATGGAAAGCTTCAGACCAAAACCATCAAGAATTCTGACAACCCTGTCTGGAATGAGACTTTCTACTTTAGGATCCAGAGAGAAGTTGAGGTAGTAAAAAAATAGAAATGTCACCATTTTGAATAGCTGGGAATCCTCAGTTGACACCCTGTCAATCAGCTGTGCTAAATAACTTAAGAAAATGCTTGTGTAACAGTATTTGCAACTGACTGGTTAGCACAAAACGGTAGACGTGCAGTAGTGTTCCCCTCAGCTAGTTATAGACATCAATGATACAAATGCCTACATCTGAGCTAGTCCAGATTCCATTTGTTGTCACCTGAGAGAAATAAGTACTGCTGTAGTATGCTTCATCTGGGCTATTTTGGATGGTTAATTTAGAAAGAGCTTTCCCTCCACTGGTATAAGGGATGGGTAGAGGAGTTGCTGTGGTGTAGACAGCAAATTCAATCCTGCCCCTAAGCTGTGTAGCTAAGAGAACTTTGGGGGTGAAGAAACTGAGTAAGTGTGTTCTTTGGACGGGTTATCAGTGTGGTGCAGAGCACTGACATCTTTTCTGTCTCAGGATAGTGGGAGCTCTCTGTTATAGGTAGTTGTCTTCTGTTTCATGATAAGTTTTCCAAGGTTGGTTTTAATGATGGTGTTCATGTTAGCAAACTCCTGAAGGAAAGCACGTGTTTCTTTACTCTTACCACTGTGCTAGTCAAGCAGCTGCAAAAGTCTATAACCATTCTTTTGTTTCTGTGTAATAGCAGCTCAATAAGAGTTCTTATTTATTTTCTTCTACTACCAGAACATTTTAGAATTGGCAGTGTGTGATGAAGATCCACTCACCAAAGATGACATGCAGTTCACAGTTCTTTTTAATGTTGCTAGAATCAGACCCGGGGAGACACTCCGTGAGACTTTTGCTTTAAAATCAGAGGTAAGGACTAAAAATACAGGGAGAGATCGGCAAGACCTCATTGTCCACATTGGCTTCCATGTTAAGTGGGGTTTGGGTCTGCATAAACAGATATCCTTATATATTGTTGTCAATATCTCATCAAAACAGATATCATTGTGCTGGATTTTTGTGGCTCCATTAATCTCTCTTCACAGATTCAGAAAATGAAGCAGCTTCTCTCTTATGCCCACTGTCTCTGTGGGGGCAAAGTATCTTAACAGGGAGCATCTGTAAATAGTCATTTATATCTTTTATAATCCAAATAAATAACTTCCTAACCTTTTGGCTTTATTCCACTTTTGCCACAGTTAGAGGACATTTCCTCCTGATGGCAACTTTTTATTACAAATGCGAAGACAATCCACTCACCACCTGAATTAAATGATTCTTTTGGGCTTCTTCTGTTGGTGTTCATGCTGGGTTTCCTTCTAGGTGATTCAGATTTCTCTAGCCCATAGTAAAGGGACGCCTGTTCTGCTAACATCTTTGGTATTCTGTTAAGGAGCCCATGAAAGAGAGTTGTCCAGAGAACAAAGCTGGGGTAGGTCTGTGACAGCTCCTGGGCTTGTCTGAGCTGTGGCTGAGGTATTGCTGCATGCTCATTGCAGGAAGGAGACAGTCCATACCCAAAAGAGCTGCTACTTCCCAAATGCTGAAAGCTGTTAACATGGATCTTCCTTGTGACTCTGCAGGCTGGTGCCATGCACTTCTCAGCCAGTGGGTGAGTCACTGGGAAATAAAATGATTCAATAACCACCTCAGTCCAGAGTACTTTTGCGTACTTCATCTCCGCTGGATTCAGTGTGAATGTGATTTAAATGGTTTGTACATGGAAATAACACTGGCATTAGTCACATTTGTTGCTGGGCTTCAATGCCTTTCCCTGTGCACACCATCTTTGCAGGAAGCCATTATATTTCTGTTTCAGTCAAGCTTTCCCTCTCCGTTTGTATCTTTGGAAATACGTATAATTCTACACATCCCACAATGGGAGGATAATAATCTTATGTGCCTTTTGCAAGCCTGTGGTTTCCATTGCAATCTCAGCTTTGGAAAGAGGTAATACACAGCTTTTTTGGTAACTTTAGCAGAAGAGATGTCAGCCCTGGAAGTGCTTTTTAGGTGTGCCTAGACTGCCAAATTCTTGCAGCCTCCAATAATCCATATTTATTTTACCTTTTTCTTTTTAGAAAGAGAGGTGCACTAAGAAATGGGAAAGTTTGGAAGTAGAATTCTGGATGGAAAGAATGTGAGTAAAATTCCAAAGCTGAAAGGTGTAGATCTGCCAGGGACTAATAATATCTCAGAAAAAGAGGAACTTCTTTCAGCTTTTCTTCCCAGCAGTGAGACAAAATTACATTTTCAAACTTTTTTTTTACCTTAACTTCCTCAGCTAATTCTGCCTTTCAGTGTATTTTATACAAATCTTACATTCTGTTTGACATGTATATCCTGACCGTGGAAATGTAGTAACATTGGCATGATTTGATACCTTGTACACAAGATACATGTAAAACTTAACAGAGATGCTCTTCAAGTTGTTAATATTAATTGAACAGTGCCTACAACACTGTGGTGTTTCTAAAAGACCAGAAAACTTGTCTTGTATTATTATCACGATGTATACATAGAGTTACATAGACAGTATTAGAAAAGTCACCCATTAGGCCATAGCTTAGTTAAACTGAAAAAACATATAATCAACAAACAATAAAATTAAGACCATCCCCTTCAAAGTGGTAATCACCGTTGTCTGGAGGAGAACAAATCCCATAAGATAAACTTCATCTCTCTTTTAAATGCTATCACAAGTTTGGTTGGGAAAAACCCCTAAACTACATGTTCTGGCATATTTGAGCTTAGCATTACCAAAAAAGGAAATATAGTCCAGTCAAAACTGACTGACTGCATGATTAGAAGAAGGAACTGTAAATAAGGCTTCTTATTTTTTAAACAGGGAAAAGCTGCAGGACATCATCACTGGTGTTCTTGGTTAATTTCTCCCACAGTGAAACTCAAGAAAATCTATTTAATTGGTCTATGAGAGATGCCTTAAGAGATGGTATAAGCATCTCTTGCAAATGTGGAAGCAGCCACATCCAGATATATAAAAAGGACAGAATGAGATGCAGTGCTTGGAAACTGGACTGAGTAGATTCAGACTAGAAATAAGAGAACATCTTTCACCATTCAAGTTATAAGGTGTGTGTGGGAATCTCCATCCTTGGAAGTCAAGCCTAGTTATTTACATTTAAATACATTCTACAGCGGAAATAGAAATTTTAAGGCTGGAAGGGGTGCTTGATACCCCAGACTTTGCAGAAAGTCAGAGATTACATACTACATAGCTTTAATCGTCCTTTCAGATATATGAAAGCACTTATGAATGTGTGTAACATGGTAATGTTGGAGTATTGGCCTTAATGAGAGATGCTGTTAATAGACTCTGTAGGTTACTCACAGTGTTAAATAACTACATCCATTCAGTGACAGACCTAGGTCTTACAAGGTAAAATGTCTGGGACAAAGACTTCCTATTACTTACCTCTGTGTTTTCCAGTCATACATATAGCACAGTGGGAGCTAATTCTTATTTGCCATTCATTTGTGATCAGTTGTAAATTATAATATGGAACAGTCAGAAATGTCCTTCCTAATAAGTATTTGCAGAATACGCTAATAGTAGTCTGTGCTTTCCTCAAGTCATATGGTCATTTGTTAATAGCAGGACATGATTCCACATAGACCAATATGTCTTTGTTCTGCTGTATCTTAGCATAAAGTTTCAAGCACTGGTATTTTTATGGGCTCTCTTGCCTTTCTTCTTGTTTGGCTACTACATTTTGGTCCATGTGCTTAGCAGGTGATCATGTATTACGCCTTTTAGAAAAAAAAGATTTTGATACTAACATAACTATATTCAGTTTTAAGCAGGAAAGGTCATAAAACTGCTATTTTTAAAAAAATACCAGATGCTCATACAGTTTTTGTTTGTTTGTTTGTTTTTTGATTCTGTCTTTTCAGTCCTGGCCCTCCAGAGCACCTCATTACCAATGATGTCCTAGTGGTAAGGTTCACATACGAATTTAGCTTGGAGTGACTTTTCCTTCATTTTGATTCTCTCCTCTCCCCCCCAGCCATCTGACATTTTATAGAGAGAACAGAATCTACTATGATAGATAAGAGCATGGTGTGCATTACAAAGTGAAAGATGTGTGACAATTCCCATTCGTTATGGCTTAACTGTTGCCCTCTCCATGCAAAAATGGAAGTTGTGTTTCTTGAAGTCCTCAGGTATTACAGATGTCAATATTTTGCCCAGCTGTGGTTTGTTGATGTTGCAGAACCCCATATATGTTGGTGTTCAAAGTGAAAACCCTTGTGTTTCATGTAGTACAGTATGGCACTTGGCAAGAAAAACAAAGGTTATAAAACAGATGAGTCTGTAGAAGGCAGTAGTAAGTATTCAGTGTGCTTAGGACTGGAAGGTTATCTAATGTAACAGCTTTTTGGGAAATGAGTTTTTTAATAAAGAGTTATTTTAGTCGTTGAAACATAGAGTCCTCTTTTGTTATTAGTCAGCATGTGGTACATTACCTATCTCCTTGGGCTGGCCTTGCAGCTAAGGAGCACAAAGTACTTCATGCCAACCACTCCAAGCCTGCACATGATTTCCAGATGCTAGCCTTTAATACCCCTAAGGCAAAGTAACACATATTCTGTTCTTTCCCCCTCATTTTCTGTGTGAGGCATAAGAGCTGTAATGATTGGCATGCGTTGTTCCTGAAATGGCTTGGAAAACTGTCCTGGAATAAGTTATTAAAGGTGAACTAGAATGACTCAGGTGGAGGGTAGCGTGGAATAAATCCATGATCTCCCTACATCAGGACCAGCAAGAAGATGCTTTGTAGACTAATCACTGCCACAATACACAGAAACTCATCATCAGATGTTTTCCCCCACCCTTCCTAAATAATTATCAGATATATGCAGCTGTTTGGGCAACAGTGTGTTGTACAGAGTTTCCTGATTTTGGGATAACTTGAATGGGTATAACAACCTATGACAATGCACCACTGTATGGACAAGCTAGTTCTGAAGAAGTGTAGCTGGGCTACTGTCCTGGGATAATGAGCTCTGAATTTACTCTTGTGCAACTGGATTGCTTCCAGCACTGAGACCAGTTTAGTTGGCTCTGTATTATAGGTAGTGGTTGTCTGCATGATGTTTCATTATTTGCTTCAGATGTGGCATTTGCTATCCTCACACTACCACTCTTGTCTTTTACAGTCCCGTGAGGTTTGCTGCTTGGAAGTGCAATTGGACATTAACGAAAGCAGGAAATATTTGAAAGGTATGCCAATTTCTCTGTGAAGTGAGGACATGACCAAATCAACCCTATCATAGTCATTCAGACCCAGGTGGAGGCACTTTAGGATGCGGAGACGACTAAGAAAACGTAATGCAGTGAAAGTCCCTGAACTGCCTCCAGTTGTAACGCTGATCTCTGTGTCTTTTCCTTGAAGCTATCAAGTTTGGACACAGTAAACTTTGCTGGTGGAAGTATGAGAGAGTGCTGACTCTGGGAGCACTCCAAGCTATGGGGTAAAGGAAGGAGTACCAGTTCCTGTGCTGTAGGACACTTGCCAGTGTGGCAGCTCACAAAGGAGTCATCACAGAGAATGACTCCAGCGGAGTTTGCCAACTTTGTTAGCTATTTTGCCTGAACAGTGGTATTATTCTCTAAACAAATCTGTTTTCACTAGAGGGTAAAAATCTTGTGCTTACGGTGTCTGCATCTCATGAGGGAACACAGAAAACAACAGACGACACAGATACTTTCTACTTCCATTGCGTGAAGGCTTGGGAGCCAGTTCTAAAAGTCAGGCTGCAGGTAATGGGCACAATACAATACCACTGTTCGTACTGCTTGCTTATTTCCAGTGTCACCAAACCAGTAAAGAACTGGATTGTTCCTATTCTGTGAATAAAAACCATGTTTTTTGTTCTCTGTAGAAAGTTTCTGATAAGGAAGATGACAACAGTAATTTAAGTGACACCTTAACAGTACCACTGAAATTTCTCCCTGTTGGACATAAAGTGAAAATAACCCTCCCTGTAAGACATGTAAGTGCTTCACCATTTATATGATCTTTTGGAGAGAGCAGTAGAGTAACCCTCAGTATTTAACACCATAACATTTTTTAAAATATAATTCATTTAGGAAGTCTGAGTGATAATTTTGTACAAATACAAGTTTTCTGTGAATAAGGTTAGTTTTCTCAGAGAAATACCAATTTTCTGTCAATAAAATCAATAATTGGGAATTCATCCTAGCCAGTTTTAGATGCATTTCAGACCAACTTTGTTGTCCTTACACAATTAAAGGAAACTATTCAATACCCCTAGCAAGGCTTTGGGATGCCCCACTGCTCTTTATCAAGTCCGTAGCTCAGTCTATATATCTAAATTTTAGATGGCTGATGTTAGATGAGTTGAATCTTACCCTCAGAGAACAAGTCTGTCACATTCTTCTATGTGTAGTCATGATGGTAACTGCTGGAGAGATACAACTCTAAGGTGCTTTAAAAGCAGTAATAATGCTGCTGTGTGGCCAGGTGAATCTGTTAACAATAGCCAGACATGCTTTCCCAGACCTTGCAGCAAACGAAAGGCAAAAATAAGAGGAGAAGAATTTCTCGGCAGCCTTTCCCCTAAAGAGAAGGGAGAATGAATGTCTGTTTCGCCACTAGTGATTCCCCACCTCTCTGTTTGGACTCTCTTTTGCCTCCAGTAGCTTTTTGGAAGGATGTGGTGACTTGTATTTCCTCTTCTATCACTGTGTTTATCTGGGTGCTGCTCTTCATCCTCAAGAATGGGAAGGTGGCAATGTGATACTGCTGCTGGGTTAAGATGGTTCATGGAGGTATATTCACAGTGAGGAAGAAATCGTGTTCCCGTTCATCTAGCCACTTTGACTCCTCCTGCCTCTTTTGCTTCTCTGTAGAATATGTTTGGTGTTTAGTTGCTTTCCTTCTCTTTCCAGCTACAGCTTTCCAAAAAACTGTATGCAGAGTGGTAGTGGTGGGGCATTCCAGGACACACTGAAAATCTGGATTTCAAGCCTCTTTTTTCCCCCAGTCATTCATGTTCCTGCTCTCATTTCTTTGTTTACAGAATGTGCCACTGCAGTTGTACCTCCAACTAAATGATTGGTAAGGGACTGGTTTTTTCTCTAAAGGTTTTATTGCTCTTTGAACTGTGAATTCTAGAACGGAGTATCCTTTATTTAGATACAAGGAATGCACAAGACTAGGGTCAAAATATAAGAGTAGTTCATTCAACATTAAAGAGTCACCAGAACAGATCAAAGTTGAATGTCCTTGGGGAAGAAGAGTCATGCCAAGATGCAAAAAAAAAAAAAATTATGATAATTTCAAACAGTGAGCAACTTAGTCACTGAGTGTCCTTTGCATCAAAGAACCAAAGACTGAGATTGGAGGCTTCTTCAAAAGGGACACAGAAGCAGGAAGAAGACAGAGGGAAAAGGGAATTTGAAATAAGCGAAATATCCAGAGTCCATACATTGCTCAAACCACACAAGTATTCCTAAGAAAATAGATTTGTGGCTCTGGTGATATCAATAGAAAGAAGCACAAGCTAGGGAAGATGAAATGTTACAGTGTAAAATAATGAGACAGACAACAAATAAACCAAAATTATTTTAATATATTTTTCATTGTACTGTTTCTGTATAAATCTGTGGTACAAATCCCCATGAAAGACTTTGTTAGGTTCAAGTCACCCTTTGCTCAGAAATGATATGAAACAGAAATAGAAAGGATTCAGCTTACAAAGCTACTGAAAGACACAAAGAAGCCTTTCTTTTTTCATATTTGCTATCCTTAGATGGCAGTAAAACATACACTGAAACATCAGAAAATAAAGAGACCATGTAGAAGCAAAGCAGTTTCTTTGAAACTGGAAGCTGCATTTCTGTCTCTAAATCTGAACAGTGAATCATGAATTTTTTATGATATTTAGTAGACTGCAGTTGCTGAAAATAGACCCATATACATTTTAAACACCAATCCTGTGCTTCTGAATTTATTTATGTTTCAGCACAGAAAAACTAGATGTGCGCTTAGGGTATGATCTGTGCCGAGAAGAGCAAGAATTCTTGCAAAAAAGGAAGAGAGTGGTTGCCGGTGCCCTGAAAAGGGTTCTTCATCTGGAAAGAGATCTACATGGACATGAGGTCTGTGAGTTGGAATCCAAGCATGGGGTGGGGGTCTATTGAATTAGGATCGGCACAACTCCCCACCAAATTTCTAGTAGTTTTTGCATGTTGATGACAAACTCATTGATTTGAATGGCAGCAGGACAGAAGTTCTCCATGTGGCATACCCCATAATCATCTAAAATTTCAGCTCAGCTATTCATGCTTCCATTCTTTTCAATGGGTCAAATTCCCAAGGACATAATACACCACTCTTCAAAGTCAGCATTTCCAACAGTGTGATGTAGCAGGTCAGCAAGATATAAGGCATTGGTACATTGTGTTAGACACAGCCTAGCCAGACAACCCAAACCAAGTAGGAAAACAGGAGTATTTAAAATTCACCTCACATAGATATTTATGAAATCATTGTAATGTTCCTTCTTTAGGCTTACCTTTTTTTTTCATTTTTAAACACTTTTTACAAAAAGTCAGAATTCTTCAGGGTGGAGAAAGAATGTTTTATTACAAGCTCCTGCTGAAATATGTTTTGTTGCCAAGATTCAGGGTGAATTTTTAAGTGAACGTTTATTTTCTTGCTGGAATTGTATTTGTTGAATGGATGCTGTCCAAAGAGTCATTTTGTTTGCTTAATATATTTTTTTTAACTCTGCTCAGGACTTCCTTGAATCCATTCTTAATTACATTTATTACAATTTTTGTTATTTATAACAAAATCATATAATTATCTGTTATTAATCATTGCAATTCCAATTATAAAGAACAAGGGGAGGAAGGAAAGTTAAAATCACTGCATGTTCAAACTTACCCAAGCTTTGGGGTTAAGGGAACCCACTGAGTATCTGGAGGTTAATTTAAAGAAAGTACAGGTAAAGACTGGCTGAAGGTTGATGTAATTTCATTGTCCTCCAATGAAGTCCGCTGAGGAAATTATAAGAGCTGTAATTAGACTTTTCCAAGTAGGCAAGTGAGTAACTTTTTGAAGATAATACTTATGTTTTGAACAGGTCCCAGTAATAGCTGTTATGGCAACAGGCGGAGGCCTCAGAGCAATGTCAGCTATGTTTGGGCACCTTTTAGCTCTTCAGAAGCTACATCTGTTGGACTGTGTTACCTATATCACTGGGGCTTCTGGCTCGACATGGTGCGTATAGAAAATGAGTTTTGTATTTGGAATGACTGTGACGGTACATTTCCACACAGTGAGAGAGATGCATTGCTTTCAGAGTCTGACATTGTTAATAAGTGAATGTAATTCCCCCTATTACTGTTGGCTCTCGATCATAACTTCAGTTTAGGCTTGCTGATTCTCTTCTTTGATGAAAGTGTTGGGTAAATACAGTAATTTTCCAAAACCATCTAAATAAATGGATGATTTTCCCACATTTCTGTTCTTTAGGACCCTAGCAGACCTGTATGAGCATGCCGACTGGTCACAGAAGACTCTGGAGGGGCCACTTAAGGCAGTAAAAGAACAAGTGACAAAATGCAAGCTCAACCTTATGTCTATAGAGCATCTCAAGTATTATCACAAGGAACTCGCTGAAAGGGCAAAAGCAGGACATGTGTCATCTTTTACAACTCTGTGGTCACTTGTTCAGGAAATGTTCTTACATGAACGGGTATGTACATGGTCCTGCCACACATCTGGGAAACATCCACTCATTTTCTTTAGCACTTTACTCTTTGAGGGCATGAAGTAATGTGTGGAACAAATCCAATGTGACTGAGGCATCCCAGTGTGATTTGTAAACAATGACAGAGGATCTTGTAGCCAGGATTTTCCAGCATAGCTAATGGTTTGAAGCTGCCTCTGTACTAGGGTGCCCAACAGCTAGCAACTTCAGTAGGCAAACTTTCAGAAAGAACTGAGCAACCCCCCCCCTGAAAATTCATGTCTTTTAAAGTCTGTTTCTAGTTGGACACTTAAGAGCTAAAGTAATCTGTCCTCATGTGAACATTAGTCTCAGCCTTAGTAAAGATCTGTGGGATGCAGGCAATCAAGGCACTTAGATATTAATGAAGAGCTTACTAGGTATCAAAAAGGCAACCAGGAATGAAAGTGCAGGAACATGAAGGAACAGGTCTCATAAAAATGTGACTCACAGATTCCTTTAGGTTGTAAAACATCTGTTATCTATCTGTACTCAGGTAGATTGTGTCAGTGCTTTTGCCTTATGCTCTTCCAGAGTTTTCCTGTGATTTTTTTTATCTCTTTGAGTAGCCAAGAAAGTACAAACTCACAGACCAGCGCAAGGCATTGGAGCATGGACAAAACCCATTGCCTTTCTATGCAGTCCTCAATGTGAAAGAGGAAAAGTTCAGTACTTTCGAATTTAGAGGTAAGTATTCCTAGAGTTTCTTCTGACTCTGAATAGGGACTAAAGAGAATTTGGAGGGAGGCTGCATGTGTGTGGAGAATAAAAGGGGAATACATCTGCTGCTTGCCCTGACTCAGTATTCATCTTTTAATAAAATGTTTGTCTGGGTGTTGATTAGAAAGAGCAGACCTGCTGGATAACATCCTCAGGCACGAACAGGGCATTTCTGAAGGTCTGGGCTGAAGTTCTAGTTTTGCCACAGACATTGTGAGTGAGTGGGGGCAAATCATGTGATCTTTTTCTGCCTCAGTTCTACACCTATGAAACGGCTTTGATGGTTCCTTAGTTTGCAGAAGTGCTGTGAAATGTAATTGTCACTTCCCTAAATACTACAGTGATGAGGGTATGAAAATAGAATGGAGTATGATTGCTATGATGGGGGTGATATGACACCCTTTAAATGGACAAAGCCTACATTCAACAAAAGGTTTTAAAATGAGCAGATACTGGAAAGAAAAAACAGGTAGTACTTACATTTGGTTAGATTTATAGCTACTGTTCTACTGCAATACCTGTGCAGTACAGCTTGAATCAGGAAACTGCACAGCCATGCCCACACTGTGATACTTTCTAGTTTGGAGCTGATGTGTCTTCAGGCTGCTTTTGTCATATCACGTAGACTGATGGGTTTGGGTTAGTAGAGGTTTCTTGCTAATCATTCCTTGCAGGTTGGATCACTTCCATGTTGTACATTTGATGCTCTTGATTCAGAGAGGCAAGTGGGATCCTAGAATCTCTATGTAGAAATATATAGCCAAGCTTTTGAAGCTAATGTTAGACTCTTTCTGATGTAAAAAAGCTAGTTCCTTTTGTATGCAAATCATCTCTCAGTTTGTATGGAACTAGACAGTGTAGTTTGCAATACAAAGCTACTGATAGTACAGAGCTGCTGAGACAAGCAAGATCCATGGAGCTTGTGGATAGCTTTATCCACAGGGGAAGGTTTTGTTTTCTTATTCTTATTACAGTAAACATGCCATGTGTCAATTCTTTTGTAGAGTGGGCGGAGTTCTCTCCTTACGAGGTGGCCATACCAAAATATGGAGCCTCCATTCGTTCAGAATATTTTGACAGTGAATTTTTCATGGGAAGGCGAGTGAAGAAGCTGCCAGAATCTCGGATCTGCTATCTGGAAGGTGACCTAGCAGTGCAATATAGTTAATCACAACATGGTAGAAAGCATGGTACTAGCTAGCCACTGGTCTGTGTACAACATTCCTTGCCAGCAGGTCTGCTCTAGGTCTTGATTCAATGGGCTTTTTACCCATTTTGTACACTTCTGCTCTTTGTAAAGCTTCTTTCCTCCTGTCCTCCCTTTTAACCTGGGCAGATTTGGGAAAGTTGCAGCATGGTTCCCCTTCCCATTTTCTGAACCAAACAAGAAGGTGGAGAAGGCAAGTTAAGGAAAATATAAGCCTTTCTTCCCTGACCAGTCATCAACTCTTCAACTTCATCAACTACATTTCTAGATAACGCATTGCTGGGGTAGAATTGGAAGGAGCTAAAAATAAAATATAACTCATCTAGAACAAACCACAAAGAGAACCATCTGAGCTTTGTGGGTTGAGAATGGTGTCACTAATCTTCCCTGCCTACAAGGATGAAGGAAGCCCTTTTAACCTCCAACAACTGCTTTGACTGGCTGTTCTGCCTCTAAAGATGAAGAAAAGGGGAAAAGCAGCTGGTCAGAGGAATCCATCTGCCCCAGGCAGATTTTAGATCCTTGTCAGAATTTTAGCCATTTTTGATACCAAAAACAAGGGTCCAGTGGAGACAAAAATTGTGTTTCTCTCACTGTGAAGTCTGCTAGAGATTGAATTTGTTCCTCGTGCGAGTACCTGGCATGGGTCTTAATGACAAAGGATAGTTCTTTCTTTTCCAAAAGCAGACTCACATATGGAGCCAATTCTATTTTGATCCTGGACCAGTTGAACTGCACAGAAACAAAACATGCCTGAAAGGAAAAAGTGGGTCTTAGATCAATTTAAAGAATAAATCAGTTTAAAGAAAGGCCTCATGCTTATTTGGCTTCACCATGCTTTCAAAGCCTGCTTTCTTTCACAAGTACACAGTAAACACTCTAAAACATCGTTTGGGTGACTGATACCTCTTATTTTGTTACTCTGTACTATACAGTGAATGGTCTGTGTAGTTATCTCTTGAGAAAGAGCACTGAACTGCTGACACCATTATGTTTGAACTCTGTGAGACCTACTGCTTAAGCTGTGTCATGACAGGGCCAGTTCACGTGGGCCAATAATACGTAGCATGGATACTTGTAATAGTCGGTGGTCAACTGTGGTGGTGCAGTATTTTTCCCATGTGGTTTGACTTGCAGGTCTTTGGACAAACATCTTTACAAGGAATTTGCTGGATGGCTTGTACTGGTCCTCAAATTCAAATGAATTCTGGGAACGATGGGCCAAAGATATGGTAGATATAGGTAAGAGTTTCAAAATCAGTATTTGTTTTTGACCAGACAGTGCTTCCTATTCAGGAAAGGATTACGATACACTATTGATACTGTTTGTGAATAATCTCTCACATGTTCTCCCTAAATTGCTGCATGTTGTGTTGCCTCACTGTGGATCTGCCAGTGTGATTTTGCACCTGTATCAGAATGAGCACTATGTGATGTTTTCATCTCATCTAATTTTATTTTATTTTATTTTACTTTAAACCCAGAGGCACACTTCATGCTAGTTGCAAATGTTTTTCATTTAAGATTTGCTCATGGTCTGTTAAATGGCTCCTCCCATGACTGCAAATGAGAAGGGTGGCTTTTACTTGTAGGCAAAAGTACAAAGCCGGTGTGTCATTTGAAAGAGTAAAAGACAAAAGCTGCGCTTGCTTTAAACAAAACCAAATATATCTTTGTTTAAATGGGATTGGTCATGTGCATATGTTTTCAGGCAGTCTGCAAGAAACAGGGATGGGAGGGACCCACAGGAGGACAGCAAGGGCAGCTAGCCAGTAAAGGTGCCTGGCAGAACAGATTGCTGATGTTTTTTCTCATGTTTCCTTCTCTATTTCAGACAAACATTCCCCTGAGGATGACGTCACTATCATCGAGCCTCCGTCTTGTCTGTCAGGGAAATTGTATGAAATGTTTCAGGACATTATGACCAAGCGTCCACTACTGGGAAAGTCTTATAACTTTCTGAGAGGCTTAGAATTTCATAAGGATTATATCCATCAGAAAAAATTTATTGAATGGAAAGGTAACTGCAACAAAGAGTTAGCTGCAGTGTGCAGGTAACATCTCAGATTTTTATTTTTTGTTTAGATTTTGGAAATCTCACATTTAGAGATATTTTCTCAGGGTTTGAAATCTGTTGAGATGGAACTGTGTTCATGGTGTCTCTTTCTTTAGGCTAACAGGTTAAAATGAACTAGTCCATGGGCCACTCTTTCACCTCCTGAAGATATCTGTAATTTTTGTCAAAGCATGCTCTTTTACAGGAAGTTTGTCACTCTCCATAGGTACAGTAGTCAAAAGATTCAGAAAGGGTAGAATCTTTTGAGGTCAAGAAACAAAGGCAACACCAGAAGCATAAAATAGCAGGTTATTATGTGGATCAGATGAAGGAAGAAGATGAAGGGTGCCCATATGTGTGGTATTTCTGCCTGATGACTTATCCATCCAGAGACCTCTCTTTAACCCTTCAGAAACAGAACTACCAAGAGCCAGCAAGAGAGAGCTAAAGCCACATAGGTTTAGACTGTATATATTAAACAAACAGAATGCGTAGACTTGATGTATAAATTGAACAGCAATTTTCTATGGACTGTGCTCTGCAGGCAGGCAAAGTAAACAGTTGTAACAGTTTTACCTCAAAACCTATGAAACAATCTGTGAAATGACAGCAAGGTGATGGAGCTGAGGTTTTGTGCATCGCAAATCTTCCCATAATCCCAGTGTCCTCATTTATTCCATGAGCAGGGAGCAGTGTGGGAGAACCCCACATTATTAAGGTTAATCTGACTTCAGCAAGAAAACATGTGTTCTCTGCCTCCTCTCAGTCCTTCTCTTTGGCAACTTGTGTTTTCTGTCCCCTGTTTCATTCAAGTTATAACACTTTTTGTCCCTGGTTGCCATTGCTACATGATTTGCTGACAGTGGCAAGAGACAGTAGGGCTTTTTTGTGGACTGAGGCAGAGCCCAGAGTGTGCTAAGTGCTTTTGAAATGTCCATTAAGCAAAAAGTCCATGTCCTAAAAAAGTCTGCTCTAAGAAAACAAGTGAGAGAAGGAGAAAACAAGTAGCATAAGAAGGGTGGGTGAGAGAAGGAGCAAGCAAGTAGCTTAAGAAGGTGGATGAAAGATAAGATTGTCAGTCTGTAAATGTTAAAAAAAATAATTTTCCTTACATTTGTTGACTAGCAATTTTGTAACGGCAAATGTGTAGAAGCAGATTTCAAGGAGGATTTGGAGGAAGAGAGCATAGGGATGCTAAAGACTAACTCAGGGTAGATATTCTACAAATAAAGTAAAATAAGTGGAAAGCATGAAGTCTGGAGTGGGAAAAATTAGCAGATTTTGTATCCTCTTTTGGCTGCCTGCATAAGACCAAGCTAAAACCAGGTATGGATCCATCTCTAGGAGCAAGAGGAGATGCCAGTTCAGTGAGCAGAAATGATAGTCTCATGGTAGGTGAAGTCTCCAGAATATAGCTGTGTTTTAAAGGCTTCCCTGCAGCTCAGGTTATCTGACACATTAAACCAAGACTTTAAATGCCATGTGAAAAGCCTAGTTTTCATGATGAGAAATTTGAGAACTTGTAGCCTCGAATTAGTGTAATGCATTCACAGTAGGGTTCATGCTTTCAAGGGAATTCCCAAGGCAGGACTTTTTTTAAAGTCCCTTTTTGGATGTGGGATGGAAGAAGAGACTCTCCCAAGGAAATACCTACTTCTAATTCACATATCCAGACATGAATAAATGCTTCACAGTTCCATCTCCATGATAAGAAAATGGGAGTAATGGAATTTCAACTGAAAATATTCACCAGGCCAAGTAAAACTAAAAAGTATGCTCTGTTTCTTCTGTGAGGGACTGCAAGCAAATGTCTCTCATTACAGCAGAATCTGTGAATTCCCAGCAGCCATGAATGCTAAAATAAGCAAATAATTTTGTAAAGACCTGCCAGTGAGGGAATGGAAAAAATATAAGTTATTACTTCAAGCTGCTGTCAAACATTCCAGGCTATGGAACAAGCTAAAGTTATTCTGCATGGTTTAAATCAACACCACAGAATGAGGTCAAGGAGGCAGAGAGATTGAAAGAAGTGAAATGCTGGAACTTACCTGCAGTATTTCTGTGTTCAACAGTTTCTTAAAATACCTAAGCACAAATGATTTAAGGCTCAAGGGGTCTGCTCTGGACTTTGCTACCTCATTTTGTGAACTTGAGGAACACTCTTAAACCACTATTTTGATATTTAAAACCATGGCAAAATATTTCTTATTCCACGGAACTGGAAATGGTACCAGGGGAACAATAGTGGACTTGCTGTCTACAGGGCAGGCTGGTGGGGTTGCTAGCAGAGAAATAAGAGTCTAGCTATCAGAAACTGTCTTTAAATCTCAACTTGCCAGTTGGTATAATTGCCTTTTGGCTCCTTTTGGTGTTAATGTGTGGTTTAATTAATTCAAGCAATTTTAAGCTGTTGGTAGGGGATGCTGTGTGCATGATGTGGTATTTTTTTGCAGCCTGGCTAAGATAATTTATATGAGAGATCACTGAAAGCGGGTTGAAGTCAGATTCTTTATCCTGGGAGAGGAGCCTAGTCCTGAGACTGCAAAAGCAAAAAGAGAGCAATGCGAAAGTGCAGTGATGTACTGCATGTGTTAGATTTGTTGCTACACTGTGAAACTGTTTTTGTTGTTTGCATTTTTCCCAGTTCTTAGGGGAAAAAAAGTCGGCTAAAGTCTGTATTCTGTGGAAAATCACTCCCCAGAGCAGCTGTGAGGCCAGTGGAGTCTGTCTCTCACCTGCCCTCTGCCTGGCTGCCTCTTGGCCTGCCTTTGTGAGTGTGCCGGGGGGAGTGTGGTAACAGGCCGGCATTGCTCAGACGTGCAGTTTGGAGGGCGCGCTCCTGAGGCCACCTTTGTGGGCTCGCGTTGTGGAGGGAGGTGAGCCTGGTCTTGAGGGCAACCAAGGGGCTGCCCTTAACACGTAGCACAGACAGAATTACTGACTCCTCCTTTCCTACTGATGGACCACTAACTCTATTCAAAATGTTTTTCAGACACCGTGCTGGACTCTTTCCCTAACAATCTGACACCGCTGCAGAAATATCTTTGCCTGATAGATGTTGGCTATTTCATCAACACCAGTGGTGCGGCACTTTTCAAGCCAGAGAGGAATGTAGATGTCATTATTTCACTTGATTATGGTTTGGGGAATGTGTTCAAGGTGAGATTAACATGCTCCATTCCTTGCAGCCCTGGTAAAACTCTTCTTGTGTTATTAAAACTTTGAAGTAAGTGGCTGTCTGAGTCTTGATCATACACTCAAGAGCAAACCAGTCACCGTAAGGAAAGAAACTTCCTTCAAGACCAGAACTATAGAAACCGTTTGGCTCTCTTCTCTGTAGTGGATTGCAGCATGCACTTCCTAGGATCCTCAGGGAATTGCAGTAATGGTTGCTGGATATATGACCTTGATCTCTCCTGGTCTGTCCTCATGACAAATTCTAAGGGTGGCTTTTGGTCATTCCCTCTAGCTGTAAAAAACATTATAGGGTGATACGAAGCATCTTCTGGCTTGTGGTGAGTGGTGGCAGAAAGTGGGGTTATACTGTGGCTACTTTGGACTACACATTCATTGCAGAGTGATTCTAGGGACTGAATTAAGTTGCCACAGTATTTCTCTGATACCTCAGTAAACCTGATTCTTGTCTTAGTGTTAGCTTTAAGGCAATGACATTCTGTGTCCACAGCAATTAGAGATGACATACAAATATTGCAAGATACAAAAAATCCCATTCCCCAAAGTGGAGATAAGTAAAGAAGAAGAGAAGAACCCAAAGGAATGTTACGTGTTTTCGGATGCGGAGGACCCCAGAGCACCCATAGTAATCCATTTCCCCCTGGTGAATGACACCTTTAAGGAATTCAAGGAGCCTGGTAAGTTCAGTCAACAAAACTATACTTTCTAGTTGAGTTCGGGCCATTTGTCTTTCCAGGGCATGGATCTTATTTGTCCTTTGTAGCAATAATTTTAAGCAAGGGCACAGCCTTTGTGTGAGTGAGACCATCCTGTCTCCTACCCATCACAGTCATACATGTATATTTGCCTCTTCCATTGAGCTATGAATGAGCATGCCCACTCACCTGTCAGGCCAGGTTTAGATTACTGCATTCAGCTCAAAGTGCGTGAGTTTCCACCATGGCAGAGGAGGAGCTATCAACTCTTTTCCTGTTAACCTCATCACGTTAACCTTCTCACCAAAACTGGGATTATGTTCCCGATATACAGAGTGAAACTGCTTCTCTCATCCAGTAAACCATGATGTGACAGAGGTAGCTGAGGCAGGTCCATGTCTCTACTGATTTGCCTCCATGTACTGCTCAAGAGGCAGGTTAGCAAACCACAGCAGACTCAGTGATGTTGAGTAAGACACAGGACAGAACAAGGCTTTAAGCCACAACTCACACTGCAAGGCATACTGCAGAAAGCAGCACTTGCAATGGTAAGATGTTGGGGAAAACATAGGGCCAGAATTCCTCCTCTGTCTAGAAGAGACTGAGAACATCTGCCAACTGCTTCTTCCCTCAGCTTCCCCCTATCAATTTAAGACCTAGCAGTGAGCAAGCAGCTGGGCACTGGTTGCTTCTCCCGTACTCTCCTGCCTTTGTGCCAACCACCATCTAGATGGAGAGAATTAGCAAGTCTCTCCAGCGATAATAAGAATGATGTTTGTGGCCCAAGAGTTAGAGCAGAAGGAACAGGCACATGGCTGCTAACAGCTGGGTCAAGCAATTCTGTTGAGAACATGTTCAGAACAGTAAATAGTAGGAGGTGGAGGGGATGCAATGTTTAGTTGGCATAATGGTAAGAAGCGTAAAAGTTACTGATCGTCCTACCTCGGCCAAGGCATTAGATGGTGTTACAAGCATTGTGGGAGAAGGAGGTTACTTCCTTTATTAAAAGACAGTGAATAGAAAAAGCTGCCAGAAAAGCTCTGTTAGTCTGTGGTGCACACAAGGGAAACCCTGCATTAGCTCACAGAGAAGGGCCTTGTCCTGTACTTGCTGAAAAGCTTTGCGCATGAGTTTGGCAGCTCTGTGCACATGATTAACAGACAGCAAGACCCTAAGCGTCCCAGGTAACACAGCTCATATCCTTCCTCCCTTTCTACCGGGGATTCAACAACAAACATGGCTTTGCCATGGGAACATATGCAGTTGCGTTGGTTCTGTGTGGAGACCCAACAGACCCTGGACAGTGGGATCTGCCCTCAGGTGTTGTCTTTGAATGCAGGCATGAAGCAGCAAAGGCCACGTCAGTACAAGAGACCCCCAGGATAGACTAGGTTTTTCCAGCAGCTTGTGGGATACTCTGCAAAAATCAGACAGGCAGTATCTTGTTGGTGCCTCTGCTGTCTGACTTCCTTAACATGAGACCTTCCTCTGTGCTGGAGCTCTTACAGCAATGAACCCTGCAGTATCTCACACAACACCTTTTGAGCTATCAGGCCACGAGGAACTTCTGCTCTCCCTCGCTACTGCTCAGCACAGCAGACAGAGCGTTATATTGTGGTATTGGGACCACAGCAAAATGGATGTCTCTGGGGAAGCATTTGGGGAAGGTTATAAACAGCAGCAAAACAGGTTAAGTAAAGTGCCTTTTCTGTTATGATGTTCGCCAATGCTCAGAGAATATGTGCAGTAAGAGATACACCAATAAAATAACGTTTAGAAACTCTATGGATGAACAGAAGAGATACCCAGTAGAGGGAACTAGGCTTGTTCCGTGGAGGCTGGAGATGGCCCAAAATGCATAGTGCGATACGGCCATCGAGCAGGGGCTAGCAGGTAAAATAGGTGAGTGTTTTAGAGTCTCTCCGAATGAAAGATGGATGAGATTATGCAGAGCAAAGCAGCTGCTGCAGCTTCTCAGCGCTCCAGGCCCAAATTCGTGAGCTGCGATGCTCACCTGCATGTTCTGAGCAGCCGGTGACTCATCAGTCAAGCTGACAGCCAGCAGCTGATGTGGGTGGTTGGGGGAGGAGGGTACTTGGCAACCTGCTTGCGTGGATTTCAAGTTTAACAGTGGAGCTTTTCATTTCTAGATGGCTGAGAGACACCTTGTGGAATGTGGGTACTTATTTTTCTTGCTTTTAACTATTTAAATTCTAGAAAAGAGAATCAGCTTGTGAAGTGCCCATTTTCAATGCAACTATAGACTGTGCTTTTCTGTGCTTGAGGCAGATGCAGCTGTATCTGGATGTGGATAGCACAGATAATATGGCTGTGAATATTGGGAGGCTCAATGAAGCAAAACTTGGACATTTTTAATACAGCCAATTCTAGTGACAGCCTGTGCCCAGCACCCTGAGATCACACTGCCCAGAAACCACTAGGTTAGACTAAAACTTTCTATGTCTCAAACAAAATTCTTGTGTCATTTTCATGTGGTTCTGGTAGACGTCATAAGGAATATCTCAGCAGTGTGTTTGTAGCCCTGCTGACAGCCATCTCACAATACATGTGTGGTTTGGGCATATTTGGTTCAGACTGCAAAGAGATAGGTAAAAAACAGAGAAAAAATGTAACTCTAAACATTTTGTAGAAGCATAAATATGAGGCTGCTGCTGTCCCTGGTGGAGGTGATGAGGGTGTCCTTTTAAGCAAAAAGATTGACCTAAGAGAGAGGATGGATGTTGGCAACTCCAAGAGGCTGGGTTAACCTGAGACTGAGTTGAAGGATGAGGGGCTGGTGTGGGGTGCTCTGTTCCCTCTGCACTCTGCGACAGGCGATCCCGCGTGGTTAGCATCACAAGGCCTCCTTGTATGTACTAGGTTGTCCACTCACTCTAGCTGGCAGATGTGCTCTCATCACTGCTAATCGAGGTCTGATCATGGATTTTGAAAGGTGTTCCAGGTGTGTGGCTTGACTGACAGTCAGACTTACAGGGTTTGGGAAAGGATGTGGACCCAGGGGCACGCTGCCCAGGAATGAATGACTGTCTGCAGGGGCAGGATGAATCCTGCCAGCCCTGCTGAGGGATTTCCAGGTCTGAGCTTTAGCAGGAGGGGGAAAGAGGAGTGGCTGGGAAAGCTGACCAGGAATGGCTCTTTCAAGCTGTGGAGGGGTGCAATCTTTCCTGGAGGCTGTTTTAAACAGTGGGTTCTGCCAAGTAGATCAGTCCCCTCCAACACCATGTGTTTTGTGCTCCAGATTTAGCTCACTGTGGTGGCTTTTGTCTTTCTCTGCAGGAGTAAAGCGCTGTCTCTCAGAGATGGAAGAGGGCAAAGTAAATCTGGAGAACAACTGCTCACCCTATTACCTCATTAGGCTAATCTACTCCTCTGAAAATTTTGACAAACTTGTGAACCTGAGCAAATACAACATCCTCAATAACAAAGACCTGCTCCTCCAGGCAATCCGGAGTGCTGTAGAACGGAGGAGAAGCAGCAGGACTGGGAATCTCCCCAGCCACTCTGGAGCTGGATACCCCTAGGCTGGGTTTTTGCAATGTTCCCCACTGAAGGCTATGACAATCACATTACAACACATCACAGTTACGTTATAACATGTCACAGTCACGTTACAACACATCACAGTGGCCATTATTTGCAGGAAACTGAGGAAACCTGTACATTTCTCATCTTGCCTTGTTCAAGTTCCTAGCTTTCAAAAGGGTTTATTTAATCTCCTCCCCCCAAGTTTTCAGGCCACGAGAGCCTCACACTGTCGTCTTTTACTTGTTAAGAAATTATGGTCCTGGTTAGCAGAGACCTTCTGGGATCTCCCTGGTGTTATAGAATATGGTGGTGGTGATAGTGATAGTACTTCATATGTGCCTGTCCCCTCAATCCTGAGCCCATTGTCGGTGTCTTTTCAATGCTTTGTTACAAACCAAGTCCTGGCCATTTGCATTCAGTAATGTCCAGATTTTCAGATAGGCTGAGCAACTAGAATTTGCACTGAATTGGTGGGCTCAGCTTTGAAGTCAGGCCAAAGAGTCATATATATCTGTGAACAACGGCCAGACTGCAATGTGGACAATTGCATTCTGTCTGGCTGATTCCCCTTGCTGATTTAGAAATTATTCCTTTTTTCCATTCCCCTGCAAGAGTTTGGCACAGAAATGCTGCACCAGACTGCCACGAGGTGGGCAGTTACATTTCAAAGAGAGAGGACATTAGCTGCAGAGAACGAGTACAGTTCTTTTGAACATTGGCTGGAGAAAAAATTCTGCATAAGATACGAGTGATTATATTGATTTATACAGGTAGTACCTTTATGCTTTAAAATGTCAAGAGCCTGAAACAAGCTTTTGATACCAAAAACTCGAGGGGAATAATTACAAGTACATTTAATTTAATAATCATGACCAAGACATAAGCTGGTGCTCCTTACATATGTAAACTGAATGTAGGATAACATAACTCACTAACAGAGTACATAGCCATTGTATTTTCACACCCAGAAGATTTTTTCCCTTTACAGTCTTCTATCCCTAACTTCATAGGCAAGGTATTTTTAATAGGTGCTACATTAAAATAGAGCACAAATAAAAAAAGGAAATTCTTTATTACACCTCCTTGCTGGGGGGAAATACTTGGAAAAATGATGCCTGGTATTCATTTGCTTTGGAGTGCAGTGAGAGACTTTGCCTTGAACTAGGAGCTTGGAACATCTTTATAGCCCTCCACTATATTAAAAAGATGGTAGGGAAGGATGCTGAGCAATACGAAACAGAGCTCCACAGAAGTCAGAGAAGTTTCCAGACTTCCTAACACTGAAGGATTTGGACCTGCTTCTTGCTTCTGGCTTATTTAATCCAAACACAGCATATTCATCGGGACCACCAAGGAAAATCTTATACATTTCTTCTGTGTTGGAAATTTACTTGATATCTAGAATTTTACTTGAAATCCAAAATTAGACAGAGAAAGAGAAACAGGGGTCTGCCTTTTTGATATATGCAGACAGTATTCAAGCTCAGAGGGAGAGCATTTACAAAAGGCTTCTTTGCCTGAACCCTGCATCTACTAAATGCTTCTGCTGCTGCAAGCAATGGCAACGAATAAGCTCCAGCAATATTCCTTGTACAATGCTTATTTACTGAGCTAAGGAATACCATGCAAAACCTGGGGAGTCTTAACAGCGGGAATGCAACTGTACGACTGAATTCAGACCATGAGGAGATAAGAACTAATCGGATACCGGCTGCAAGGAAAAAATAGCCATTTTGAGTTGAAAGGTGAGATGGCAGCAGGGTGCTATCTCAAAAGAGTCCCACCAGCAGGATCTGCTACCTTCGTGTAGGAGAGCAGCACGTCCTGGCACAGAATGCAGTGGTGCAGGTATATGCACATACGAGCACATGCGGCTGTGTGCATCGTTTTCATGCTCCTCTGGCTGGTCCTATGAAGAAACCCCTTCCTATAACCTGCTTGCACAGAACAAAAACTGATTCCAGCAGGACTGTGAAGAGGCTGTGTGCTCCCACGTCCCGTGGCCTGGTACACCCTGATTCACCTGGGGTCCACTGCTTGGCCCCATAGCCAGTGGGTGTTTGACCCCCTGCTCACCTTGGCCGGGCAGCAGGAGCAGAAAGGATGGACAAGGAGTGAGTGATGCCGCCCATCTCCTTGCCCTTACTGCATTGATGCGCTTGGGGCATCAAATTATTGCTTGTGTCTGCCAGAATTAAGCTATTACACAGGAGGTGCAAAGGGCTGAGCCGCAGGAGAGGGCTGGGGGCTGAACAGCTCGTGGGGAGTCTCAATAATGGCAGCCGATAGCAGCTTTTCTGCTGCGGTGGTTAAAGGACTCAGTTCAGTCAGGGATACTGGTGTTCTCTGCAACAGACTGGCATTTCTTTTGACCAATTTAGGTCAATTTGACCTTTCTAAACCAATATCTAACTGAAGCTGGAAGACTTCGCCTTCAGGAACAGAGATTCAGGGCACCCCCCGCCGAGATACAGCAGATCCGTCAGGAACAAGACCACCAATGATGTTACGGAATTGCCTTTCGTTTACATATCATCCATATTGTAAATAGGAACACTGTTTTACCTCATGTACCTAATTTTTATGCTCTGCTGCTGCAAAAAGATATTCCTGTTTTGTTCATGGGCTACAGTGAGTGATCCGAAACCCTCGTGAATCTTGGCAGCACGTGCCCATCAGCGAGTCAGCTCAGCTGCGCTGAGAAAATCGTGTCTCTCTGAATGCTCCACAGACTGATAACTGAGGCGTGCTTCATGCATTCATAGTGCTGCTAATGCAAACAGAAATGCCCACTAAAATGTGAAAGAGCCAAAAATCCCACAGGGTTTTCAGGTAACCCACAGTCAGTGGAGAATAACTTTTCTGAGGGACCGTTAAACCCTGATATAGAGGGAGGGAGGGAGCTGTGGGTAGGGAGGGAGGTGGGACGGTGGTGTGACTCTCCCTTTGCCAGGAGAACTGTCACCCAAGGTTGTGCCAACACTTAAAGTAGAGCCAGGGACTGCTGTTTAATCTTGCAGCCCAGAGGCTCAGACAAGCATGTGCCCCTTGATCTCCTTGGGGCCCCACGTGGTACCCCTGTAGCCTTAAATGATAATAGGTTTTTTAAAATATATTTTTGCATTTCAGAACCTGAAATTATGTGAGGGCTGTATCATTGCCCGTCAGAGTGGGTTTTTTTGTTGTTGTTGTTTTGGTTGGTTTTGTAGCGTGACATTGAGGGAGTGTGTCGCTGGCCTGACGGGGTGGCAGGAGGACCTGGAGGGCATTTGTGAGGGCAGAGGCTGCTGGAGGACTCTGCAGGGTGGAGGGACCCACACCTTATCCAGTCTTATCCATGCAGCTTGTTGGGAAGCGGTGGCTGGCGCATGCTGTCCCCCAAAGCGCCCCTAGGCTCTGGTTCAGAGCATGCTAATTTGCACAGCCCCAAACCCACAAAACTATAGGGCATAGCTGCAGCGACGTACGGCTGATCAGTGACCTGCGCTCAGGTCTGCTCCCTGGTCCTTGTTTCCTTTAGGGTGTACGTGGAGTCTAAGGGAATGGACCACTGAAATGTCGTGTGTTTGTTCCCCGAAGGGTGGATGGTTGTTCCCCGAAGGTTGCGTGTTTCTTCCTTGTCCCCAGTCTTGCCTGGCCTTGTGCCACATGCTGTCGAATGGCTGTTGGAGCGGAGTGCGTGAAAACCAAAGCAGGCACGGTGAGGAGAAAGCTGTCTCTCTGCGTCTCACCATAAAAAGGCGTGTGTGAAAAGGCACATGGCATGCTTATAAACTGGGCCTTGCTGTTCTGGCGTTATGTTTGCTTCACCACTGAAGATGAATGCATGTGCGCAAAAACCTCGTCATCTGAAATGCACCCCAGATCACTGCTCTCAGATGAACGTTTTGCTGGATCCCCCCCTCCCCCCAATACAGGGCTTGCTATCTGCTGCCAAACACAAAGGAAGCAAAAGTTTGTTCTTATAACTGTTAGCTACTCTTTATAGAAATTGCTTGCTTGTGTCTTTTGACTGTTTAATAATATATCAATTAAAAATAAAGTATTGCAAAGGAGCACCAGACCCCTGACAGTCTTTATGCGCTTAAACACAAGACTACATTTTTCCCAGTTGTAGTAGCACTACATATGCTAGATGCCTGCTGAGCACTTTGTAGGGCATTTACGGTTTCAAGATTGAGTGGAAAAATCAGAGAAAGGATATTCTGGTTTACAAAGGCATTGAAGGCCTGGAAAAAAGAAGTGGAACAAAATCTACCTCCTGCAGTAAAACCCTCTTCAGTGGAATGGCACAAGGCAGGGCAGGAAGGCAGCTGTACTGAGCCACAGCCAAGGCACAGCTTTATTTTGCCTCTTGGTGGTTTGATTTAAATGTGTACAGAAGTCTGCCTTTCACTGAACTTTACTGTTATCAATTAAACGGGGAGTTTAAAATACCTAAGTTAAAAAAAAAAAAAGTTTTTTATTTTTTTGTAAAAGCAGTTAAAAATTATCAATAAAGGAAAACACACCAGTTTCCCACTACTTACTTTCATTTGCTGTATTTTTTGTGACAGGCAGTGGCTCCAGCAGAGGTACAGCAGATGAAAGAGCTGGACTAGCCAAAAAAAAAAAAAAAAATTATTAGATCACTTTGATGTGAGTGAATGATCTGAATCAGTCTGAACACAAATTTAAACTCTAGATGTTGCATGTACCCATAAAATATTTACATAAACTCAGTGTTACGCACTCTCCATCCCTCCCACTGGAAAACTAGTCAATGCAGAGAAGACTACAAGCAACAAGCAAGAGTCATGCTTCAGTCTGACTAAAAAAGGACCAAGGCTGAAGTCCTTGTCAGAGAAGTTGTTAAGGACTTGAAGCTTTAGCTTCCACCTGTCAGGCAAGAGCCCCCAGCCGCTATGCTGTCCTAGGTGAAAAAATGCCATTTCTCCCCAGCTTCATGCTAGGTAACTTTTCTTTGGCTCAGAAACAGAGATAAGTAGGGGAAAAA